TGTTATTGCACGGTGTGGTGCATGGCAGGTTTGACATTCTTGGTTTCACCTCGGACTGCAGCCTTGTGTGAACCCAGGGGCGTCACAGAATCTCACTTTGATTACCTCTCCTTCATTAGAAATCCTAAACAATCCCTTATATAGGTGTAACAATGTGGATGTCAAAGTGGTAAATAACCAAGCCCAAACCTAACAGGAATTCGTGCAAACAGAAACCCAAACAAACCATAAAACTTTCGATGAGTCGACTCACGACTGAGATGAGTCGACTCGTCCGAAACTGGACAAAACACAAAACCAGTAATGAGTCGACTCATGACTGAGATGAGTCGACTAGTCAGAGACTGGTGACAAACAATTGAGTTTTTATGAGTCGACTTATGACAGACATGAGTCGACTCAACCTGATGAGTCGACTCATGACTGTTATGAGTCGACTCATAGGCTAAAATTGGATGCTTTAATTCTTCGATTCGTCGTCTCGTTCCACGCTTCAACCTGCATTCCACTATGCTGTTTTACACCTCTTTTCTTAAGCTACCATGAGAATCATCTATCCTTAAGCTCCCATAAGGATCACTAAGTTCCAAAGAGAAGATACACCCGTATCAGCAAGAAATACTGTAGCAGCAGTGGGAACACTATTCACGTGGGTGAGGATTTGTTTACAAACTATTAAATCAAATACGACGGTGCAGATAGATTTGTCTTTTGATCGAGGATTTGGAGACGGATTTTGGTGATCTAGGAGTCACTCCTAGGGTTTTTCGGTGTACTGAGTTTGTTTTTAATGTTGGTTTTATCAAATTCAATCTCTACAGTGGCTAATTTGAATTTTGATTGTGGTTAGACGATGATGACTTCTTCGGGTCCGAAGTTCGATATTCTGCTATTCAACAGTAAGAAACATTTTGCAGCATGGCAGATAGGGCAAACGAGTATACGACGGATAAAACTGGTGTAGAGAATCATATGTGATTCTAGCAGTAGAGTTGTTAGCATATAATTATTCAGAGTCATCGCGGGAGTAGGAGTTGGTTGGTGTGTAGACTCTAGGAGGACAATACCAGATTATGTGGAGCTTGCAAGCATGCACGACTGAGTGACACACATGCTGATGGAGATGGTAACATTGGACTTGAAGACGACGAGCACTCATATTTGGTCCAAGCCAAATGATGGAGGAGATGAAGGTACCTGGCTCGTAGTGTGGAGTATGAGAGGTGCACCGATATGATAGACGAGCGATGCAGGTAGTACGAGGACAACAAGTGGGGGGAGGCTACTATCAAGTTCAGTTTGGGAGGAGAAGCATAGTTGATTTGCTTCTAATGTCAGATGTGGCGAAGATCTCTTGGTACGCACAAGAGAGGTGAAGGCGCCACAACGAGGCATATGAAAGTGAGGGTCATACGGGCATCTAGTGGGGTGCATGTGTTCTGATTAGGAGTGCAGGTGTTTTGATTTGAAGTGTGAAAAGGAATAGAAGACTCTAGCAGGAGATGCAAAGTTTTAAGACGACGATGATATATCTTCAAGGGAGTTTGGGAATCAAATCCAAGGTGGAGATTGTTGGGATTGTGTCTTTGATTCTTTATATAACTTCATGAGAATTAGATATGGTTAGAGATCTATCATGATTAGAAATTGGGTCTCATCATGATTATGAGTTTGAAACTTATTCTAATTAGGAAGTTAGGCTAGAGATAGGGTTTTAGTTTCCATATATATATATTCTTTTATTGTTGGAGGAAAAACCAAGTAGAAGAGAGAGAGAGCTAATATTCTTGTAATCTAGGATTAGCAGAGGGCGTAGCTTGATTCAAGAATATTGTGCAAGAGGCGATGGTTTCGTAGTCTTTATCTGTGTAAAAGATTACATCATTAGGAGAGGGTTTCACAGTCTTTGTCCGTTCAAAAGATTATAAGGGGTGGGTTTTGGAGAGAATATAAGAGTTGATTATGTATGTGAGGTTGAGAGATTGAGAGACGAGAGTTGAGTAGTTCCTCTTGTAGTTCTCCCTGATACATAGTGGGTTTCTCGTATTGTTGTCCCGTGGATGTAGGTCGAAATTAGTTAACTGAACCACGTAAATCTTAGTGTTCTTTCTTCTTGATTGTGGTTATTTTCTATCTTATCGATTATGAGTTGGCTTTTGAGTTGTGAAGATCGCTGTTCGCGGGGAGGACTAAAATTCCCCAACACTCAATAAGCACTAATGTGGCATGCACCAGCCTAATTAGAGGATTTGTAGAACAAACCACATGCAAATGAGAATGTGACAAGATTAAATAATGTTTATTTGTTCTACAATGCCTCATGCCTATTGGGTGTATGGAAGGATGATCACTAATTGGTTTAAATATATTAAACTGACCGAATTTTGGTGGTTCGGTTTGAGAAAATTTCAGCCTGATCTAACTAAACCAACCACTTTCTTAATTGTGTGAAAACATACTCCTTCATTCTTTTTGATAGTCCACCAACATTGTTCTTTTTTCCTTAAAAGTTTGTTGTTTCAGTTGATTTGAATCGTTCTTTTGTCAATTCTTTTAAATACCCATTTTTCTTCCATCAATGTTTTAACATGTGTCTTTCTTTTAGATCAAGATAGCTCTTTTTCTTAATTAAATGAGTCGAATCCACAACCAAGTATACCAAACCGAACCAACTGAACTAATTTTGGCTAGTTATGTTCTGTTTTGAATAAAGAATGATTTGGTTCAATTTTATCAAAATTACTCAAAACCAACCGAACCGATTATTTGCTCACCTTTAGGGTATGCCACTTGGTGCTCATGGAGCCCCCAAATTTTTTTTTGGTAAATTTCCTTTGAAATGAAAAACTTATCTAAATACCACTTTCCAAGTATTTTTTTAGCTTTTCTTGAAATAGAGTTTTTTTACTATTTATTTCTTTTGGAAACCATGTGGTGTAAGTGCTTTTCATCAATTTTTCTTATTTGGTTCAAACAAAGAGAGATCACTTTTTTGGAATCATATTTCTCCAACTTATGTTTTTTATTTTTTGCAATGTAAACATCGCATTCCCAAGAAATCGTGATTTTCCCAAAAAAATAATATGACGTGAAAGTCCATTTTTGGGGAGTTTTTCCACAATTAGGAGGCGTTACAAACAACATAATAAGCAAGGGGATGAAAGTGTTCTTTTGTGTCTATATCATATTACTTGTAAGGAGATCTTTTTAAAAAGACTCTTTTTAAAAAATAATTAGCAAAAATAATATTTTTGCTAAATAATTAGTAAATCAACCTCTTTTTGGCCAACTCACCATGCCTGGACAAAAAGATACTGATTTTACAAATTTTGATATTTAAAACACACAGGACTACTAGTCTCGTGTGTTTAGCGAGCACTAGTTAGCCTTTAAACAAACACAGAAAACTCACGAGACTAGTAGTCCCATGTATCTTCTGAATAGTTTCGAAAAACACAAGATAGGTTCTATAGACACCTTCTAACATGCACGAAACATGCATGCATTTGTTCCTACTTATCTCCTGCGTATATCCTGTGCATAAAAAATTCAAATTCACCTCATACACATATCCAAAACAGTATAATCTCTATATAACTTATAATTTTTAAGAAATAAATATAACTTAATACACATCTAATCAATCCAAAATATCACAACAAAACACAATAGATAACATTCCACGACAACACATATTATATTCATACACAAAAATATTGCAACAAATCTAAACATACCAAGTTTATTTATTTACAAATAGCCTATATTAATAACTTAAATATAGTCCATATAGAAAATCCATAAATCCATCACATACAACCTAGAAGTCTACCCCTTCTCCTTTGTCTCCCTCTTTGTACCCACTCAGATCGTCGTCATCCTCCACAGACTTCAGCTTGCATGAGCTCACTCTCTGGTTGTAACATAGAGGTTAGATAGCATTGGAGTTCAACAACGCTAAAGAAAATTGAGGTAGATGGCAACACTCGGTGTTGGAGTGAATCAAGAGAGAAATTTTGGGGAGGAGGCTCGGTTTGGATTTGGAGAGAAGGAGAGAGAAATTGAGGGAGAAGGAGGTGATGTGAGAGAGGATGAACAGGATGGAGGGAGAGATCGATAGAGAGTTGAGGGAGAGATTAGGAGATAGTTGAGGGAGAGTGCAAAGAGATATCGTAAGAGAGAGAGAGAGAGAGAGAGAGAGAGAGAGAGAGAGAGAGAGAGAGAGAGAGAGAGAGAGAGAGCCAATATTTTTATAGAGATTAATTGGATAAAGTCTTAGAAGGTAGGTAATTTTTTAATTGGATATGGTGGAAGAAGTAGACTATAGTTCTGGAAATTTTTTATTTTAAATTAGGAAAATGCTAGTAAGAGTGATTTCTTTTGACAAAGATGGCTGAACTACTTTTGATCTGGAACTTTTTTACTGTCAGCATCTATAACGAGGGGAAAAAACAATCCATAGAAGTTCATAAAGTTAGTAGTTTTAGTTATAAAACTTGGATGTTTTAGACTTGCATCTTAAATTAGAGAATCTGGTACAGTACAGGTAATTAAACTCCCTTCTTTTATTTTCATAAATATCGTAAAAGTATCTATGAGCATGAATAAACTTGCAAATCAAGAAAACCTCAAATTAAGAAAATAAAATTAGAAATTTTGTTTCATTTTTTATACAGTGTATGCTAGCTTATTATTAAATAAACAAGGGAATCTAATTAGAGCGTGTTTGGCTTTGTTTTTTCTCAGATGGTTCCAAATTCATGTTCGGTAAAGTTCACTTTTTTTTACTTATTTTTTAACTTGTAAGTAGCCAAAAACTAAGTTGGGATTTCCCAACTTATTTTTTGTCCACTTATAAGGAGATTTACTTATTGTTGACAAATGTCTACATTGCCCTTGGAAAAATAAGTAAAAATAACTAATAAGTAACTTATAAGGCCTCAGAAAATAAGTATTAGCCAAACATGCCCTTAAACTACTAGAAATAGGGAAGATGTGAACGAGCCATAACTACAAATGAATAAAATTTCTTATAATAGTACCTCTCATGAATTCACTACATTCCATGCCATACCCTGCAAAACGGCAGAAGGAAAAAAAAAATACTAATTCACAATTATTTTCCTAAGAGGAAAAAGAATAAATTTCAAAATGAAGAATGCAAAAAAAAAGAGAAGAAAAAAAAAGAGAGGGTGCTGTTTGTAATTTTCCAGATACCATGGCAAAGGAAGACAAGGGCCTTGGGTGAAGATGAAAGTGGTAGCCATCTACACGTAAAGAGCTTCACTCCTCTTGCATTCCTAATGTGACCCTGTTCACGAAGATGTATTAAATCATTATTCAACTCATAAATTTGAAAATCACAGAGAAAAATAAAAGAAGACAAGGAAGATAATTTTAATTAATAGAGAAGGAATATGAGAAGTTGTACTAACCTCTTGGTACTCAACCTCCATGTTGCTTGTAGCCTATACCTAAGCTAAGCAATGAGAGAGAGAGAGAGAGAGAGAGAGAGAGAGAGAGATCAAATGGGGATTGTGCACTAATTTTTGGGCACAACTGGGTACATATAAACTTGACAAATACACGGGACTAGTCCCATGTATTTGCTGTGGTCTTGTATGTCTCTGTGATGCACCAAGTGTGAATAGTCCAACATTGGGAAACGTGTGAAAAGTTATGTAGCTTATATAAGTAAGCCTAATATCCAAGTGAAACATTGGCTAGTCGATTTTGTAGTGGTTTGAGACAAACAACACGTTATACTCGGTGGCTCGCACAACTTGCATGTGCTAGGGCCCAGGGCGTGACAAATAGTATCAGAGCAGTTGCTAGCCAGAAGTGTGGAGTTAAGTACTATGCGGGGTAAATATTACACCATATGAGCTCAATGGGAGCCACCTATATAGCTCATAAGAGCCACCTCTAGAGTCCACATCACCTGACAATATTGGAATGTGCCAATTATCATGTCGTGACGAGGACATTGCCTTTGTAAGATGGGGTGATTGTGATGCCCCAAGTGTGAATAATCCCATGTCAGGAAAAATGTGAAAAGTTGTATGGCTTATATAGGTAAACCCAAGGCTCAAGTGTAACATAGGCTAGTTAATTTTGGTAGTGGTTTGAGCCAAATAACGTGTTACACTCATTGGACCCCGCGACTTACACGCACCAATGGGTCCACAAGCTCGGGGCGCGACAAATGGTACATCCCAGTATCGCAAGGCAATGTGGACTGTAGAGGTGATTCCTACGAACTCTAGAGGTGGCTCCCCCTCCACTCACATGGTGTCGCATTAAGCCCCACATAGCACTTAGCTCCACACTTTCGGTTGGCAAACTGTTCTGATCCATTTGTCACACACCGGGTTTGCACGCGCCAATCCATTGGCATGTGCAAACCCTTAGGACCCCACCGAGTGTAACGCATTGTTTGGCTCAAACTACTGCTAAAATCGACTAGTCAATGTTACACTTGAGTCTTATGCTTACCTATATAAACTACAAAATTTTTAACACCTTTCTTGATGTGGAGCTATTCACACTTCGGGCATCATAATCACCCTATCTTACAAAGGTGACATCCTCATCGCGAGATGATAATTGGCACACCCAAATATCGTTGGGCGATATGGATTCTAGAGATGACTCCTATGTGTTCTAGAGGTGGCTCCCACTGAGCTCACACAATGTAGCACTTAGTCTCGTGTAGCTCTTAGCTCCACATTCTGGCTAGCAACTGCTCTAATAACATTTGTCATGCATTGGGCCAGTGGGCCCATTGGCGCATGAAAATGTGACCCACAAAGTATAATGCATTGTTTGGCTCAAATCATTGCCAAAATCTACTAGTTAATATTACACTTGTGTCTTGGGCTTACCTATATAAGCTACACAAATTTCACACTTTTCTCGACGTGGGCATCACAACAACTTGTCACGCTCCCAAAATGCACAACTCACTTTGAGATGCATGACAATAGCAACACGTGCAGAAAGCACATGCTAAGCCTGTGGTGCACTTTTATATTACAAATAAACTTCACTTAAAAGAAACTTTATTGATATATAGAAGTCCCACAGCAAAAACTACATTATAACAAGTTCTTTCTAATGAGTCAAAAGACTCTTATTACATAAGAATAGTAACATGACCAATATAACTATAACTTTCAGCATCAAGCACTCTAAAAGATCATTCTCATGTTCCAAAGCTCCAAGGTACAAATAAAGCTATCTAATTTTTATCATAAAAAGATTGAAAAACAACGGGTTAAGTTGACACTCAGTGAGCAGATAACTTATCATTATTGGATCAAACAAGTTTACAAATTTTTTTAATATTAAATATAAATAAGTTATTATCAGAGAGAATAATTTTGGAAAACATAGAATTTTCGAACAAGAGAAACTTTTATTAATAGCTAGTGACAGTGTCATAAAATAATATTTTCTAAATTTAAGAAATAATACGAATGAGCACTAAATATTTTTAAACTGTAATATCATACTTTGCAAACTTCCTTAGTTGTCACACTAAGGCTACGAAAATTATAGCCTAGTAGGTCAACGCGGGGACAGAATGTACCTAGCACTACCATAAGTTGCCCGAATGCCACTTCATTTTTGCCAAAAGGCCACTTTAACATTGGTCGATATATTAGATACCATGTGGTAGGCTTAAACAAATCACTTCACTCCATAGTAGACTTCTGAGGATTTTAAACATTTAAAAATAAATTTCTTTCACTCAAAATATCACTTGAAATTTCCGCTTGTATGAAAAGTAATATAAATGCTTAAATACTTTTACAAACTTTTTTCATATCAATTTCATGAAAATAGGACATCCGTGAATCTAAACAAATAAATTTTTTGTCAAATAGAACTCTTCAATAAATGCATTTGAACAGTAAATTTGAAATAAACATATTTTCAATAATCTCATCTACTAAATAATATTTATCTTGTAAAAGATAAACAACTGCTAAGATTCAAATTTGTTAACAATTACTATAAATGAATAGAATAATATGTCTGATCTACAATTTCTCTACACAAAGATAAAATTTCATTTAAATAATACATAATAGATTAAAATAACTAGTGAGAAGAAATTTAAACACCTTTAGGACAACACTTTGGAGAATAGTACTCCAAGAGCCTACTCCTCGATGAAACCTATAAGCATGCGTAAATACTAAAGAACTCTAAATATAAACTACTCCGGTATGAAACTAGTATTTTTGTTTCTAGGGATTTTTCTAAAAATTTGTTTCTCTTTCTTTTAAGGCAAAACTTGGGCCTTACAACAAAAATTTCTAGTCTAAAGACTAAGATTAATATTCCACAATTAGTTCTCGCAGGAATCTTTCTTTATAAAGTCTTGGACATAAAGCTAATTTTCTACAATTTTAAGGTCTTATGAATTTTGTTCTAGAACCACTCTACCTTTTGGCCTAGAAATTAAATTTTAGGAACTCAAGGGGTTAAACTAAAAATCTTTGTTTCTTCTTCAACCTGATATTTGTCCTCTATTTTCTCAGTACAGCCAAACCCATTCAAGTCGGGGTTAGGATCGGTGGTCATGGTGACCACCATGGGCCAAACACTAATACATGGATATCAACAATCTATATACATTCATTTTCCTTTTATGTGTAAGAATCAAAGAGAGCTCTTCCTATATATAGGGTTTCCAGTGACTTTTGAGTTGTGTAACTCCAACTAACATTCATTCCTAATTAAGGGCCCAATAAAGACTCTGATACATTATTTCAGTTATAAGACTTTTGTTTTTTCTTGTTTTTTTTCCTGAGAAAACTGATTCACTACAGTCTTTGTGTTTAATACACGGGACTAGCAATCCCGCATATATGTATTTGTGGCTCATTAGTTTCTGTTATTCATATGGGACTATTAGTCATGTGTACTTTCAAGAGAATGTTAACCTCTTGATTAATGCTCGCTAAACACACGGGACTAGAAGTTTTGTGTGTTTTAAACATCAAATTTTACATAATTAACATCTTTTTGGTCAGGTTTAGTCGATTTTGTTAATTATTTAGTAAAAAAAATCATATTTGCTAATTATTTTTTAGAAAGAGTCTTTTTTGAAAAAATCTTCTTCTTGTAGATCTTTTTTTCAGATCCCCTATCACTCTGTCGTTCCTCCCATTCTTCTCTCTCTCTCTCTCTCTCTCCACTCTATTGTAGTACTACCAGTACCACCCCTCTTAATTCAATTCTGATATACTAATTATAGTGTTTATCTAAAAAGGGGATTTTATATATTTTTCTTTTATCATTTCATGTAACACCAGGAGGTTAGCTGGAAAAAAAATACCAAAACTTAATGGGGGGTGTTTTCTGCAACACCCGAGACCTAAGGGGTTTATCTGGTAGGTTTAAACTTAAGGGGTTATCTGGAAAACGGCCACCGTTAAGTAGGGTTCCCATTAGGATATTGTCACCGCGTTAGGGCTTGATATCGTCTCCACTCGTCCCCGGCGATTGGAATAGAACGGTAGGGTTTCTCTGTTCTGCGAATTGGAGCTCGAAATCGAAAGAAGAAGATGGTGAGCAACATCAGCAAGATCGAGGATGCCATAAACTCGATCCCGGAGAAGAAGGAAAAGCTTCGAAAATCCTTGGAGTCTCTCCAATCCTACTCTTCGTCCCTGGCCAGCCTCACCCTCGATTGGAAGGACCTCGAAGATCACTTCTCCTCCATCGAGAAGTCCATCGACGAGCGATTCCGGGCATTAAAAGAGAAGGAGAAGGGGATCCAAAATCAAGAGGAGGAGGAGGAGGAGGAGGAGGAGGCGAAGGAGGATCCTCACCCTCACGACGACGCGGCGGCGGCGGCAGAAGGGGAGCCAACTCCGAGGCCGGAGCTGCGATCGCTGTGCGTGAACATGGACGGCAAAGGTCTCCGGGCTTACGTTAGCGAGAACAGGAAGGATCTTGTTGCCCTGAGGGAGGAGCTAGCCCCGGCCATCAGGTGCGCCCCCGATCCCGCGGTGCTGGTTCTCGACGCCATGCACGGATTTTACCCTCCCAATTCTTCGAGCTCCGATTTCAAGAATAAGAACAAGAGGAAAGGCAAAGGAGGCGACAATGAGGAGGACGGAGAGACCCAAATCAACCGGAGGATCTGCATCAATCTTCTCGAGAAGCTCCACCTGGTCTCCCCGAATATCGGTCCCTCCGTTAGAGAAAGGGCCAATAAACTGGCTTTTGATTGGAAGTCCATGATTCCCAAGTTCGGCGATAATTGCCTCGAGTCCCTGGGTTTCTTGAACCTCATCGCGGCCTACGGTCTGGTCTCTGAGTTCCCAACCAACCAAATTTTGGAGCTCTTTGTTTCTGTGTCGCGGAGGAAGCAAGCCGTTGATCTCCTCAAGAGTCTTGGACTTGTGGATAAGTTGCCTGGTGATTCTCCCTCCCCCCTGCTTCTATTTATTACTCTGCATATATTTTCAACACTGTTATAAATAGCGGTAAATAGACCCGCAATAGCGGCGCTAATAGCGTTAGCGGTCTCTTCCTGCCCGCTACGCTATCGCGTAATAGCGGTGACATATTACGGAATATGTCTGTTCGCAAAAACGGCCAATAGTGTCATAACAGTAAATAGTGAGTGATTGCATTCGAAATTTACTTTTGGAATGTTATTTAAAAACGGTTTGAGGCTTATTTTTTTAGAATTAAACTCAATCCTTGACCATTGCATTCCACCGTCTCATGTGATTTTCAGCATACTCCCGTCACCTTTCATAGCCTTTAGCACCTACCTTGATACTTCCTTTCACCTCCTTCACCGTGAGCTCCTCTTAGGACAGTCCTGTCACCGCTAAGCTCTTCTTCTCGAAGACGATGACTTTTTGACTCATCTAGTCATCTTCGGTATTACGTGATGGTTACATGTCTATTTTATGTTTAGGATCTCTTTAAATCATCCAATATGTACTTTTAGATTTCTTAGATTTTTCTTTAATTTTTTTTAGTATTTATACATATCTTAATTAGACCGCTATTTGACTTTGCGTTTTTTAACGTTATTTTGCCGCAATAGCCCGAAATAGCCTTAGTGATGCCTTACGCTACCCGACGCTATCCGCTATTGATAACCTTGATTTTCAATTTGCGCAACATCTATTGTGGGGAAATGCTCAAACATAAGTTGTATGTTACTACTATTTGGTAATGTTGTCACAGTAACTGCCTTGTATGTACTTGAATCAAGTCACTCTCTTTCCTTATAAATATTGCATCCAACACAATACTAAACATTGATAATCATTTTGACTTGCAAACACCATAGATTAACCATTCTTGCTCTGTTGCTCGTCGCCCTTTCGTATATTAATATTGGAAGCTCAACATGTATCATGAATGTCTTCTGTTAGTTGAATAGTGTGGGCTAGCTACTTGGGCAATATAGCGATGGTTCTCAAAATGACTTCATGAACTTGCAAATGTTTTGGTATTATTATTTTAAAAGCGGTCTAAGCACCTAAGGAGCTAAGAATAGCCAAGAAGCCCAAGTTAGATGTTTGGGCAGGCGTGGGCTGCTTAAGCGGACCACATCATGTAGGAAATGAGTATGTGACCTATTTGAACATAGTGGAATTTGAAGAAAATAGATCAACTTAAAATGAAAATACTCAAATCAGATATCTACATTCAAATTCAAATTAGACAGAATATTGAAGCTATGATTTAAAGTCTTTGAAAATCCTCGATCGGTGTCTCCCCTTAGCCTTTCTCTTTGCTACTAGAGTCATTGTCCTTGAGTTCTAAATGTTGTTGGAGCCGTCTTCTATCACTACCGTCACTTGTAGAAAGGCAATTTATTGTTACATATTATTGTTGTAGTTTTGTTTCAACAATGTTAAATATATTTTGTTTATGATCTTCCTCTTTTATTTTTCTTTCATCTTATTTTCATCATCCTTTCCTTCTATATTTTATCTTCTTCTCATGTGCCTTTCCAGTGTGGCAAAGACAGCTGCTAAAAAATATTTCGAAAAGCGCCCACATACCGCTTAGGTGTCCGCCGGGTCTAGGGCTTATAAGTGCCCAATGCTTTCTAGAATATTTGTTTCAGTTATATAATTTGTTGGTGGAAAAAGATTCAGTACAAAGTATTGATACATGGATAAAATGTACAGATCCTGTTCTTAGTTTGAAGTATCTTCAAGCTGTTGCAATAGAACAATCTTGGCTGCTCCAAGCAAATGATTTTTTTGTCTCCTTTACATCCAAGTAAGTACCATAGATTGGAAGGCGGCCTCAACTTATTAAAAGCCCATCAATTTAATCATCTACACTTTTAGGAGAATCCTGATTGCATGTTGATGAAGTCCTCATATAGCCACATACCTCTAGCTTTCAAATGACTGCTTTGAGAATTTCTGCTTTGGTTCCAGAATTGGTGAAGCCCAAGATGAAAAATGGAGTTGAAAGAGGCTAACAGGAACTGATTGGAAATTATGCAAGGACTTGGCCTTGCCAAACTAACTCAATTTCTATAAAATTCATGCTTTTCTATCTCAGTGAGACTCAGCCTTTGTATGGGCTTTACTTTATTACACACGATTAGAACATGGTTCTTGGATGGTACAACTTATCTGTTAACTCATGACCCTTTCCTAATTGATTTCCCAAGCATCACTATAAATTAACTGAAACATACTGAAGCAAAACATCATTCCAGTTACTCCTTTCTAGTTTTTCACTCTATTACATACTTCTTGTAGTTTGTGCACTAGCTGGTTCTCGTTGCACTTACCCATTCCATCTCAGTAGAGTCTTCCTCATCTCAGTTTTAGCTCGCAACTCAAGCTCATTTCTTTCTTCACCATGTGATCATTTCTTATTCTCTCTTTTGGCACGTTGCCCCCCGTATATCTTCTCAACATTCTCATGTCAAGCATGCTTGTTTTGAACATGTTTCCTAGACAACAAACATTATCATCCATATGCATGATTCACAATGTTTTTATCTTAAATGATTTCTTCTCAATTTCATTGGTACCCTATGTTCACATAGTTCAATTCCGTACTC